AGGGTTGCGGTCCGTTGCCGGACATGAAAAAAGACAAAAAGGAAAAAAAAAAAAAAAACTGCATTTCTTTTTCAATTAAATCAGCTTGGGATATTATCAACAATTTATTTCTCATTGACAAAGAACTAATACATGTGTCTATTGTGTGTTTTGTCCATCATAAAAAAGCAGCAGCTAAAATGTACGGTCTCTTTAGCTGCTTATTAATGAACTGCCCTCTTCTAAAACATCTCTCTTCATCCATGAGTATTTCATCAATTCATCTCAAAAGGCATTCACACCATTATTGCACATAAAACAGAGGAGGGAAGGATTCTTCTATTCCTAGGGAAACCATGCACCTCTAATTAAGAGCAGCATGATGGTCCTACTTCTAAAATATCTGTGTGATCATCCTCACTCTCCGGGAAATTAGCCCAGGATTTTTATTTGGATTTACCATAGAAGGAAATGGGTTGGGGGTGGGAGGACTTGTGCAAAGGAGATAGGAGCAGTGAGGGAGCTGCACTCCAGTTCTTTCCATGACTAAACCAATACTCCAATTTCTCCTATCAGTAAACTCAACCTCGGGTAAACAGGGAAGGTAATGGAAAGAACAGTGGGCTTGGAATCAGAGACCAGGTTCTAGTGCTACTCCTCTGCTAACCTGGGGAAATGAAACTGCGAGCCACCAGAGGGCCTGCTCTGTGCCAGGCACTATACTGAGTAAATTACATTTCTGACTTCTAATCTTCATAGTATCCCCCTCAGATTGGTGTTATACCCCACTTTACCAACAAGAAAACTAAGCTCAGAAAGAAATATTTCACAAGTTTCTGATTTTGATCTATAAAATGAAGGAATTGAATTACTTAAACTGCCTTATGATTATCCTTCTATGTTTTCATCTGTATGCCCTTCTTTTGCCTTTCCTCTCTTTTCTTGGGGTTTTTCTTTTTTTGTTGTTTTATTTATTTTTTTTCTCCTCCGTTACTTCATAACTGATATTTTTCTAATTTTATGTTTGGAGATTAATAAAAATTCCTCTGTAAGAACCATTTTTATTCACTTACATTATGGCCATACCCCTGCTTAAATAATGCTAAAATAATAATAATAATGACTAGAGCTGTAGAAAAATCTATTTTCCTCTCCAAGTCTAGAAAATGTGCCGTCAACCCTCCTAATTCCAATTTTGCCCTATATTGTTCACTTTATTAGTTAATATTTGTTCATGAATTGATTCATTCATTCAATAAACATTTATTAATGACTGGCTAAGTTATGAATGAAACTGCATTAGGGGCTGGCAGCACAAAGAATAAGATTCTGTTCTTGTTCTTAAAGGTTCCCACAGTTAAAATTACTCAACCAAGTTATTATTACAACTTGTAACTTGTCTTTGGAAATTTATGCAAGAAATCTCAAATGAAGGCATAGAATGTCAGATTTTTGTGAAAAAAATAAATCATTAAAGCATTAACCAAAAACAAATTATTGCTGAATTTTAGGTAACATTATAAAAATTATATTTATTTTTTTATTATATGTAGTAGCCTAATGGGATACTACAGCCAGTTCATACAGGCTCACAAGAGCCTACTGGTAACATCTCTTCCCAACTCCACATTCGGTGACAACACCTTGGTATCCTGAAATCAGCCGTAGTGGGAATATTTCCACCATGGAAATCAGAAAATGCTATAAATCAGTGATTTATCCCACCCCCCAAAAGCCAGTGGTTAAACATTTACTAGCACACCATTGACTAGCACTTAAATTCCAAAGGATTAGGAAGGTTGCCTCAAGGTTGTTTTTTAAGGACTTTCCTCAGGTTTCCCCAAACTATAAGTTTCTGAATTGCCACATCTTATAACCTGCATATTGTTTCTATGACATTAGTTGGAGTTCGGAATTGGGAAAGTCCAGATGAATTTCCTTCATTTACTGAGCTCGGAAGCCACCCATATCATCACCATTCACTGTCTCAACACCCCAAGGTGGACAAGTGCACAAACAAGCGGCCCAGGATTGCCTATTGGTTTCAAGGGATGGAATGGTCAGATTTTTGAAGAAAATACTCTACTCGAACCTAAAGTGCTTTCAAATGACTGCAAGGTAAGAAAATGGCACTTTTAGAATTGTTCAATATGACAATTAAAATTGATAAAACTATAAATTTAGAATAATGAGAGTGTGACTTCAATTATAAACTACAGAACTGTAGTAAGTTTTCATTTGCCCGACTTTTAACCATACATTTTCCAGAATCAATCATTTACTTACATCATATCATAAATTTAATTTTTATTCTCCACGTGAAATAATTATATCGTACCCATTCTACATCTCATTACTGCCAGGAAGATAAGTTGTGGAGGCAAGTCAGTTTTATTTCATTTTGTCAGTCCCTATACCTGAGACCAAATATGGGTATAATTATAGATTGACTGGCCCTACTTATCAACATTTAAATTGCAACCCATTTTTCCTGTTAAATTTAAATAATGGATGTTGTGAAAAATCTATAATTTTAAAACATCGTTTCATTGGGTAGGTGTTGGCAAACTACAATCAACAGGCCAAGTCCGGCCCACCACCTGTTTTTGTAAATAAATATTTATGGGAACACAGCCACACTCATTCGTTTACTTGTTATCTATGTCTGTTATCACACTACATATTCCACTTATCCACGGGGAATACGTTCCAAGACCTGCAGTGAATGCCCGAAAGGACAGATAGTACCAAACCCTACATATACTATGTTTTTCCCTATACATACATATTTGTTATAAAATTTAATTTATAAATTAGGCAGAGTAAGAGATTAAAACAATAATAAAACAATTATAACAATATGCCAGTATCACTACTCTTGCACTTTGGGGCCATTATTAATTAAAGTAAGGGTTACTTGAACACAAGCATGTAATACTGCAACAGTCGATCTGATAACTGACGGCTACTAAGTGACAGCCACTCGTCACTTACTGTATACAGAGTGGTCAAGGGATGATTCACGTCCCGTGTGGTACAAAGCATTAAGGTGTGAGATTTCATAACACTACTCAGAACAGCATACACGTTAAAACTTATGCATTGTTCATTTCTGGAATTTTCCATGTAATGGTTTTGGACCTCACTTGACCACAGGTGACAAACCATGGAAAGTGAAACCAAGGATGGGGGGAACTACTGTACAATGGCAGAGATGAGCTGATGGGACAGAGACTGTATGGCCCACTAAACCTAAAATATTTGCTATCCGGCCCTTTAGAAAATAGTTTGCTGGCCTCTCTTACAAAGAATAGAGTTGTCCATTATATATAGATAGATAGATAGATAGATAGATAGATAGATAGATAGATAGATAGATAGATAGATAGATAGATCATTAATTACTTTAAATAGCTTGGTTTCCCATCTTCATGTACTGTGAAGCCCATGATTTACCATTTCTTACCATTTCCAGGGAACCTTTTGTAACGTCTGAATTCCAGACAAATAGTGTTTGGGTATTTGAAAAATCATAGGCAAATGGTCAGAAGCATAGGGCTCTTAGGCTCTGTATTTGAAGAGATCAATATCACCAACAGATTTATTTAACTTTTACAGTCTTGCCCAGAAACTTTCAGTGACTCACTAATACCTCTGAGACACAATCCACACTTATCAATTCTATTCAGTGCTCCCAACAATCCAGCCCCAACCTACCTTTCTAGCACAGACTTTCACTGGCTGTCTGCTCTAAATGATCATCAAACTGATCTATTTATTATAATAATAATAATAGTAAAAATAATATCAACAACTCCGATTACTATTTATTGGGGGCTTATTATATGGCAAGTGGCCATACATTATATACATTATTTTATTCAATCATAACAGCTTTGTAAAGAAAATATTATTAGGCCCATTTTATAGCTAACAAAGTGAAGGCACAGACAGGTTAAGTAATTTGCTCAAGATCATCCAGCAAGTTACTTAATTACAAATTACTGGAAGAGCAAGAAATCAATCCCAGGTATGTACAGCTTCAAAGTCCATGCTAGGTTGGTTTTCACAACCACCACATACTTTCCCATCTGTTTTTGTTATTTTTTAGTTCTTGTTGTTTTTACCCATGCCTTTCCTTTTCTCTGAAATGCCTTCCTTTACTCTCTAATCAAGTGGAAATTTTAGGCATATTTTAAGGCCCATAAAAATTCTTAATTTTTCTTTTTTTTATTTTTTGTATTTATTTTTTTTAATTCTCAATTTTTATTTTTTTCCTTTAAATTTTTATTTTGTCGATATACAATGTGGTTGATTATTATGGCCCATCACCGAAACCTCCCTCCGTCCTCCCTCTCCCCCCTTCCACCCAACAATGTCCTTTCCGTTTGCTTGTTGTAACAACTTCAAAGGATTGTAGTTGTTATATCTTCTCCCCTCCGCCCGGTTATTTTTTGTGTGTGTGAGTGAATTTATTTATTTATTTTTAGCTCCCACCAATAAGTGAGAACGTGTGGTATTTATTTTTCTCTGCCTGACTCGTTTCACTTAATATAATTCTCTCAAGGTCCATCCATGTTGTTGCAAATGGCAGTATTTCATTCGTTTTTATAGCTGAGTAGTTTTCCATTGTGTAGATATACCACATTTTCCATATCCACTCATCCGATGATGGACATTTGGGCTGGTTCCAACTCTTGGCTATTGTAAAGAGCGCTGCAATGAATGCAAAATGGTGCAGCCTCTATGGAAAATGGTATGGAGGTTCCT